CGGGTGTTGTTTTGGTGAAAGAAGTATGTCTAAGAGTGGAAGGTAGAGTTGAATGGTTAGGTAATGTGTCCGGGGAATGATCAGGGGGTCCAGTCAAGAAGTTTTCAAGACTAGAGACATTTATCGAGGTTGAGAAGGATCTGCCACTCCCCATCAAATCGGAGTATATAGATGGTTTCAGAATAGTGGGATTGTCGCCCTCAACATTTGGAGACCCCATAGCAGTAATGTTGAGGGGGGGAGAGATAAAAAAGGATGAGATAGTGTGTATGTCGAATTAGGGGAGACTAAACCGCTGTATTGGGTGGCTTGACTTAGATAGTACCTAGAGTCAGTAGGTGGGTTTCCAAGTAGGCCAACATTATGGCTTCTTTGTGTGCGGTGGGCAATTTTAGTCCTATTGTGGTTAGTTGGGGAAGTTGTATGTTTCTGATGAGGAATAAAGGAATGCCTGTTATTGTTGCTAAGAGAGGTGTTTCTGATGTGTATAGTTTTGTGTTGATTCATGGGGCTTGCAAGGTTGACACTATATGACTTATGGGTATCACGTGTGGGTGTGGTTCTTGTCAAATGTCGTTTCACATTAGGATGAGTGGGTGTTGCCAGTTCACTATGTTTGTTGTAGGGCATTCTATTGCTATGAGAAGGTGCACGTTTTGGGTTAGAGGTGCTGGAGTATTGGTGGGTTTTTACGGAGGGTTTGGTATTATTTCGTACAGCGATGTCTGAGAGTCTGTAGCTGTTAGCGCAATTCCTGGGGTGGTCATTTTTAGGCATTTTACAGGGGCCGCTAGGGTGATACTTGGACGCTATTGAGGCATAAGTGGTTTGGCATTTTGGGGTAGCTGAGTGTTTGGGCTGAGGGTGAGTGGTTGTAGCTGCTTTATGAGCGGTCTTGTCCTTAGGATTAATTGCAGTGTCCGACGTGCCTCCGTTTTTTGGGGGGGCAGTGTATGATATTTTAGGATTTGTGCAGTGACAAGAGCTGTAGCTGCCGCGGCTACGTAAGCTGGGTTGATCTGTTTGTGTTCCATTGCAGATACGACGCTGGATAGCGGTCCTGTCATGAATGATCCTAATCTTTTTAAATGTTGGAATACGCCTCAGTAGTGACTGACTATTAAGGAGGTGATTAGCTTCAGTGGTACTACCAAACTGAAATAGAATGGGACATGAGGTTTTAGTGTGTCCTTTACGTAATCTCCTTGTTACACACCAAGATTGCGACAATCCACACTCTTGTAGCAGAGTATTTTTAGCAATCTTTATGTTCGTACTATCAGGTATATTATACACAATGACATTATGCATACACTGAAGTCTTTTCAACACTTCGGTTGATATATGGTCAATTATTTTTTCAGTGTTTTTTATAATTTCCAGATCGGGATTTTCTGGAACACTGATTAAATATTTGTACGGTAATAGGTCTTGAATAGTTTGGGTGAGGCTAAGTTCTGTTTGGGTGTTTCTAGGTCTACCAGTGGTGAGATTATTCAAGTTTATATCAAAGTTTTTAAGGTCGATATGGTTACATATAGGCCTGTTACAGGTGTCTAGCGGGTGGTCACTTTGTGCACACTTAGTTGGGGGATTGGGTATATGTCTGGGTGAGTAGTCAAGATCTACGTCATCGGGCTGGCTATTGTAGGCAGTCGTAATTCGTGAGCCGCTACTTAAGATGGCCGATTGTAAAATTGTTGGGTGTTTGGGGTCAGCCGCACTGTCTAAATACTGCTCACAATATTCGGTGCTCTTTTTGGGACTGACAAATGATGTCGACTCTAACAGCATGTGACTGCTCTTATTTATATCGACAAGCGAGATGCAAGGTAGTGATATGTCTTGTCCAAGTAAAGGGTGCACGTTTAGTGTGGCTGAGGGAAGATCAGAGTAGGATGCAGACTGATCAGTGTGTTTATAAGGTTTCGCATTATTCACTTTAGTGACTGATTTAGATCTTTTGCAGGTGCTATAGGCATCTGGAGAGATTATATGTTTTTTAGATGGCCTGGACATTATTGGAAGTAATGTTAATTCAAAGTTTAATTAGGTGGATGGCGATAGCTGTAATTTAACTTAGTGAACGTGTAAAGTTTTATGGTAGGATCAGACCCAGTATTAGTTAAGAGTAAATATATTACAGTTAATTGGTGATAGTGATAGCGTGAAAACTAGCAATATTAATTTATGAGGTTGAGTTCCTAAATAAGGTGTAAAGTTAATAGAACCCTATCAGTGACGAATTATTTATCGCTATCAAGTGTTAAATTAAAGAGAAAAACGGATAGGAAAATAAAATAATACCACGTGAAAAAAAGTTACAACCTTCAAAAGCGCGCCACTATGCTTGTGCTCATCAGCCCTACCTTCATGTTTCTAAATATGTCAGAATTTCGTATCACCGACATATCTTATCTCATTTCACGCTATTGAATTGTTTATTGTTTCGACGTTTTGCACGTTTTTTGTGTTCTTTACCTCTATATTTGATCTTATTAGGTTTTTTCTTAAGCCATTATAAACTGGACAGATACACTGGTTAAAATGCTTTATCACTGACTTCTCTAGTTTGAACGTTACTTCCCTGGGGGTATTTTGAGACAAAACAGAAATAAGAGATGCTCGGTTTTTAAGACCGACTGCGTATGACAGAACATTCTGACTAGGTACTTCACTAAATCTTTGAGCCTTAAAACACACCGATATTTCGGAACGATGTTGGTCTTTAAAGTGGTTATGTTGGAGATATTAGAGAAACGACCTCTGACATGAAATGTCTAGTGAGAACAGGAATAGTGCCCAGTATCCCTCCACAGAACAAAACGTGCCTGAAGTTGTAGATTTACATTGCCACTCTTAAAACCACCAGAAAGCAAAAGTTGTGAAGTCAGGTGACGAGACTTGATCTTGGGTTTGGAAGACAAGTACTTCTGGTGTTCTCTATTGCAGACTTATTTTTCGAGGCTTTCCAAATAAAGATTTTGGAAAAATAAAAGTACTTGCTTAATCCCAAGTAACGTTAAATGATGCATTGAGACATCGTCACATTAGTCGATCACACCGCCTTACATTATTGACGAAAGTATCATTTATTGGTCTTACTCTCTGAATGTCAAGTACTTTCCACAGTGCAATGGCTTCGTGAACTTAAAGGGGTGTGAAGAAAAATAATATATTTGTAATATCCCAATTTTCTACTCATTGGGATATTACAAATATATTATTTTTATTTATAACAATGAACCCAATGCTCAATTTATTCGAAATTATCAAATCAAACCTTGGTAATGACACCTACAAACTCATTAAAGGGGTGTGGTTGATTTTTGACATTTTGTTTTTTGCTGTCGACCAAATTAGTCTCAAGATATGGCTACGATACCTAGCCGAACACCCTTGGTTAGTAGTGTAAGTCAGAACTAAAAAGGTTAGAATAAATGTCGAATGGTATTGATTCTTTTTATTTCGGGGAGTTACTTAACAATGCAGGTTCTACTTAGGTTCAAAAGTTTATGCGGTAGTCATTCAAACCAAATTTGATGGAACACATCTTCACCAATCTAGTATGGCCCAACCAGTGTTTTCATGGTTTTCATGAAACGGTCTCTCGTCACTTAAGTTATTGACGGTCATTATCTGTTATAAATATTGCTCGTCTGAAAACTAAGTGTACAGTAAGACTTAGAGACTTGAAAACTTCGAATTTTGTTGTGATATCTGTCCGCAAAGTACTAATCACGTGTGTGTGATGTGAAGCTATTGATTGGATGTCACATGTCGAGACAATGTTCAACCCGTTGGAACTTTTTGTATGGATAGTCTTTGCATCGCAAAGGAACATAATATTGGGAGTAGTAGGTCTTCAGGTTGTGAAATAGCCAGTGATGGCGTACTAGGGGTTTGTTAGGTTCTGTTGTACATAGTATCAACTAATATATTTGCAGGAACGTATAATGATAAATATTTGGATAAATTTCAGTCATCGAATATGAAATTTGTTAATCGGGGCCAGCTAGTAATTTTAAATCAGAGGAAAAAACGAATAATGGAAAGAATAATTTTGTAAACGTAAACACATCTACCTTGATAACAAGATGTGCAGATCCACATTTAACTACCATGCTGACTAGAATTAGTGTTATTGAGTGTGTAGACCATCACGCACTGAATACTAAAGACGCCTTCAACCGTACAGAAACGACAGGAAGCGAGCGCAAATTAATCGTTCAGTTTATACAAGTTCGCCATAAAGATATTGGATATTGGCAACACACATTTGCATCCAAAACATAAAAGTTGAATTAAGAAAGCAAGGAAGAACTGTCAAAATGCGAAGATCGAGGTCTAGAAGTAAATTAGGGAAGAAGGTGGGTTTAAGCGATAACCATTGTGGAAATGAGCCGGCGCTAGAAAAATATGATTTCAAACAAAATAATTTGCACCCATTGATTTAAGTTGCCCCTTCTGGATAAAGATCAAGGGTTGGGATAATTCACAAAATCTGCTCAACCTTTGTCTTGAAAATAGCACAAGTATTCAGTGTTTGACAACGCTTTTACCAGTAACACCTTCTAATATAACTCGTACCCACCAAGAGAAATCAAAAGACAGAATCGAGGAGATCAGAAGTTGTATTTGACGATTGTCAATATATCGGAATTGTCTGATCTAGTCTGGCTAGCGACTGCAGTAGATATTGAGCACGGCGTTCCCAAACGTGATCTAGTGCGGATGCATGACCGAGCGCCTTCAGCCAGGTGAGTCCACTAAAACTAATGTGGTCAGCATCCAATGTCGAAACCTTACAGAGTTATTTATTTTGAGGATTTATTTACCGCTACAGTCCATTTTTCAGAAGATGACCTTTTGAGGTTTATGTATTTTTTCATAAGCTAAAGTGTCACTACAAATGTTTTGGTGGATATAAGCTTATATTTACTGATATTAACCAAATAAAGACATACAGTAATTTATGTTTCAATTCCCCGCGGGCCACATCGATTTCCGTCGCAAATGGCGCACCCTGCAAAACGGTCAAGGTATGATGTTCTTGCCGCAGCTACCGCTCAGTTTTACAACACTACAGGAACAGTACCGGGAAGTCTTCACCTGGCAACTGATATCTCCTACCTAGTTACTAATCAACCGAGTTGCACTATTGTTGTTGCAGACATCCCGGAAGGTTGTACAGAAAGGGATTTGATTGGTCTTTTCAGCAGATACGGGCAGATTAAAAATGCCAAGCTGGTATGCAGTGGTCGAGCTGCTCTTGTTGAGTTTTGTGAAATTTCTCCTCCCACTAGACTTGTCCACATGGCGAAAATCAACCCTTTTTGTGTCGGTCCGAATCGCGTTAGGCTGGAATTTTCTTCCGAAACAATTACTCCTGTAATTGACCGCAAACATCAATCACAGTCTTCAGCCTTGGACAACAATGCCCCTACACGCATTCTCCATTTAGATATTTCAAATGCTGAATACCCAATAACTGTCGATGTAATAAAGGCAATCTGTTCTCCTCATGGGAATATCCTAAGAACCTTTATTGGGAAAAAGAATGTTGATCGTTCATTAGAAGCTCTTGTTGAGTTCGAAAATGTTGAAGAGGCTAGGGCAGCCAAAGAGCAGCTTGATGGTGCTGACATATATTCCGGTTGTTGTAATCTTACGGTTGCATATTCCCGTCTTCAACGTGTTCATGTGACTCAGAACGATAGTGAATCATGGGATTTTACTGGTCCAAGTGGCAATTTAGAGGGACCCTTAAACAATTCTTCCACTCAGCGTACGCTACTTGGCTCAGTAGCTCCACCTCCCAACTCAGCCGTAGCTCCTGCAATCTTACCACCTCCTGCAGCCGCCCCATTCCCACAAGTGTCTCCGGTGTATGGCGCACAACCCTACCCCCCTTCCCAAACACCGATGGGTTACTATGGAGTGGGTCCACTTATTCCTCCGGCGTGCGCTGTCCCTGCAGGGGCACCATTTGCCTCTCCATACCCAGGTTACTGGCAACCTAATATGATCCCAGCTGCTGGTATCCAGTCGCTCAGGCCACAAGCTTCGACTGGTTTCACACCACCATCACAAATCATAATACTTCCAACCCCTCCTTCAGTTCATCAAGTAAATGCTAGCGGAATTGGGATTGGTCATTCAACATCAAACCTATCTGTATCAACTCCGGCTGCTCGTCAATCGGACTTGTCAGTTTTTGAAGCTATTGAAGGTGTAGTTTTAATGGCCAGCAATATACCACAGCGCATGAATTGTGATCATCTGTTCAATTTAATTTGTCTGTATGGTAATGTTGCACGTATTAAGTTCCTGAAGACACGCCCTGGCTATGCAATGGTTCAAGTCGGAAACCCAGAAACAGGTGACCTCATACATCGATACTTCAGTGGGGTGTGTGTGTTCGGGCAAGTTATCCAGTTTCATCACAGTAAGGTGACGGAGCTTAAGGAACATGAAAATCTGGGGACATTGGCTGATGGGTCACCAGTTATGAAAAACTACATGAGTGAGTTTTTGTTGTACCTTAAAGCGTTCCATATATTAGCGTTGTATTTGATTGGAGGGACTAGTTTTTGATGCTATCCAACATTTTGTATTATACTTTCCATATATTTATATTCATAGTTACGAAGATTTGTGCCAAACCTCTTAAATATAAACAACTTCCATTTTCCTGGTTGCAAAGACTCGTGCACATCAAATCTCCATAATTTATTTTAGATGAAGTTTTTTTGCCGTTCCGGTCTATGGTCTAAGCGTGGCCTTGTAGCAATTATCTGCATGAACTTTATCATTAGTAAAGTTAACCATCAATTGTTAAGTTTATAACTTACTGACTGATCTATGTGTAGGCTTGTTCTCATCGCAATTTCCGTCTTACGACGAACTCATTTTATCTCACAAAGTTAACCTTCCACAAATTTGTGGTGACAAGGATCAGTAGGTCTTGACTGTTCTCGCATTTAACAGAACTATTAATTCGATCTCAATATATACTTAACCAACCATAACAATAATTTTAAGTCAGTTCGCACTAGTCTCCTGAAAACTAGTTAATATATGCTGCATGTTACTTGGCCTTGATATTTGAAGACTCAAACTACTAACAAACGTACATTGATCTTCAAAGACACCAACTGAAATGAGCCATGTACTTGTTTTCAGACTGCTCGGATAAGGTTCACACAATTAGATACTAGGTTCATTGATTCCCTGTTAATTCTTCACACATCACAAATGTATACTTTCTCGAATTCGATCTATGATGTCTGATCTTTTGATACTAATAGTACTTTTATTAACACTTACTCTGGGATTGGCTCGCTGTGCTAATGGGTTATAGGATTCAAACCTATGTACACATGCATCATGTCCTATATTGCTTATGACTGCGAAGATATCGAAGCATGATGTTGATCTTCAGGAGGCTGACAACTCAATTTTAGCCCTTGTGTACTTTGACAGTGCAAGTATAGTTTATTTGAGCTTCCTGAGTCTGAATGTTTTGTAACCCCTTTGTGCCTAACCAGTCAGACAAGTTTAATTGTCCCCAGTTGTCATTCTTTGGTGCACGATGTATGCCGAGGAGCAAATATTTTTTCTACTTGTCCCATTGTATAAGCTTCAGCTTGATCGGCTTCAGTTTTGATTCAGAAAAAATGTAGATTTTCTGTAAATTTTTTGCTTTTGGTTTCTCTTGCACTAAGTTTAATGGACTTTCTTTTACGTTATAGCGGACCCCAACAATCGCTTCCGAAACTCAATGGTGGCTGCCAAAAGTAGAATTCTAGAACCTTCTCGCACACTTCATTTCTTCAATGCCCCCCTTAATTTTAGTCCAGATGACATTTGCCGAGTGTTCTCAGATTGTGGTGCCACACCTCCACCCCGTGTTGTAATATTCACTTCTAAAGCAGGTCAAAAAACTTCTCTTGGTAAGTTCTGATAATGATTAACTGAACATATAGTATATTTATCCCTATTGACCAGTCATTTATCAATAATTCTGAACATAAGCTTAGTCATAAGTGTTTTTTTCAATGTAGTGATTAGATTACTATGTTCATGATCGAACGTTTAACTTATGTTATAAATATTACGACTGTTATACTGCTTACACCTGTACACAACACTACTATCCATTAGTCAGCTCTAAAATAAGTACTGCTTCGCTGGTCCTCAGGATAATAATTGTTTCCAAAACACGAAGTTTGTTATCTTCTTTTGTTCACATGAGGAGCTGAAAGTTCACTGATCTGTTCTTGATAACGGAATCCCGTCAGAATCTTCATACTTTTCCAGTGCGTAGCACATTTCATCACTATGAATTATATCGGTCTCTTGTTCAATCCCAAAAAGGGGATTGACTACTAACTTTTTGACCAAGGGTCGATGAAAGGTTATTAATTTTGAAGGTTCAAGGAAAAGATAACTAGACGTTCGCTTGAAGCTTAGAGTAAAATTGATCAGTTTGGACACCAGTTAACTCTCAGTGAGAATGATTGGAAAATAAACAAATCAATGTGAAAATATTGTAGGACCTTCCTACCAACCCATGATTATCTCTACTTTAAGTAGTAGTATTCCCACTCAACTAAGTAGAAGCCTATAGGCTCTTCGGGGAAAAGAGCCCTGCGAAGAGTGCGCAACTGGAGCACTAGAGAAAGGAAAATAAATGGACGCGCTTAGGGTTCATGGTACGTGTAATTAGGAAAATCGATATATACGATGAGGCGGACACACTGGAGCATACACTATGAAGTGCAGACGGATGCATCATAATCTACATTTTCTTATCACTTTCGAAGACTTCGAACTTAATTATTTACTTAAACACCGATATTGGTACAAGAAGGCACCAAATATATATACGCCACATAATTCACTCAATTTATGTGAAGGCTGTCATCAGTAAGAGTATAGGATATTCGTAGCTTACTAGTATTTGATCACAGGTGTCTTCGGAACATTGCTCGTATATCTTGGGACCGCCGAATAAGTAACACAGCTGTTAGGAAACGGGTTATTTATTTCAACACATAGATAATGGTACAAAGAGGCACCAAATACATATGCGCTACACAAATCTCATTCGATATGTGTGTGAGGGCCGTGATACTGCCCGGGTGCCCAAACCGAAGCAGGTGGTTTTCTTATGGGGCCACACCCCGAGCCTTCGACCTAGAGATCTAATTCACATGGCAGTGGATCAACGTTAGGCAATATAGTCCCATGGTATCCGGTTATCAACAGTTGGTTCATACGTCATTTGTTCGCTCAGAATCCTGGATCCCGTGTGACCATTGGTTTGGAATCAGGGTTTAACAACTCCCCTAGGTAGATTCTCGGAATCCACCAACCCGGTTAAAGCGACGGACATTCGCTTTTTGTCCTCTCAATTTCGTAAAGAACACTAATACCACGAGAAGGCAGTGAGTAGGACTTCCCTTGTAGTGATTGTATGCACGTGGAAATGTGAGAGCATTTCAAGATGGAGAGCTGACTCTAACCTCGACCATATCAGGGCATTTGAAGGCTCAAACTTCGAAAAGCGTTGTGAGCTTAATGAACACACCAGTATAGGACGTAAAACAGTCGCAAGTATGCAATACATGTATATTCGGAATGCACAGATAGAAACCTATACATTCTATAGTATACACATACGTAAAGATGCGATCACCCCAGACCAAGAATGGTTGTATGCCTAACGTAGTGCAGTATATAGTTTTCGTAGCCTATATGTGCACTCTCACTGGTCTTGTACATAGTCGAACTTTTGTGAATTACCCAAAAGTTTATAAATTAGGGGTATTAAAAACGTGTCTAGTTATTGTCGTGCTTGTTTTCCTATGTGTTACTGAATAATAACTATATTTGATCAGATTCTATGAATCAGTGTAAATGTAGAACAAGTTAACATTTGATTATATGAATAGTAGTTTATTTGTCTCCACATCTCTTTGACTCCCGCAAATTTGTATTGAATTCCAGTTTTTGTACATTAAAGTGTTCTCTTCAGGTGATTTCCGACGAGAAAAGTCAATCAGTTAGTCAATGTGTAAAACCATTAAGTCCAAACTTTATTATAAATATCCAATATGAAAAATGACTGAATGTAAGTTTTTATTTCTCTTGGACAGGATTGGTAGAATGGGATACGTTGACTGAGGCTCTTGAGGCCCTCATTTTGGCAAATCACCGGCCAGTTCACTTATCTGGATACGCTCATCCTTTTCATCTAAAAATTGCCTTTAGTCCGAAACCTATATCGGATGACAGAGCTGGCATTTCGCTGATACGTTATCCTGCACCTCCTTTGATGCCTGGACACCATGGATCGTTGGCGATAAATGGTCAGCGAAATGACAAGGCTCCTGGTGGCGGTTCTAATGGGGAACAAGAGGATGAATTAGATATTCTGTCGAAAATGGAGAAAGCCGAAGGTTGTGCAAAGCCTGAATCAAAGGGTGACTCAGCGGGTGCTAAATCTGATTCAACTAAATTTCCAGAAGATGAATCCAATGGTGCACCAAATTCGTCGGAAGTGACCGGAAACGAAACTTAGACGTGCGATAACGAACTAATATATTTCAGTATATTTAACACCCGCGTTTCATTATGCTTAGCTTATTGATGGCCACTTGCAAATGAGTATGTGGTTATTCTGTCTTTTTTTCATGCGTATATATGTCATGTAGATGATTATCTCATCATGGTCACAACTATCATGTTTATTATGTTTGTAATAGATCCTAATATTTTTATGTGGCAGTAGCCTTACATATTTTATAAAGTTAAATAATAAATAATTTGTTCCTTTTGCTCTTTCCACTGCTTAGCATATGGTATATTTATGTTGTATTTCTATTTGAGGAATCAGGTCCCATTAAGTTATGTTGATGGTATCATGTCTCCTGATCATTAAATTCATTAATTCATTCATGTCTAATTATGAAGTCAACCACTTTAGAGCTTTACTTTTTATGTGCTTATATAATCACTCATGTTTATTATAGTCATTGTTTTATTGGCATAAAACATATCCTAAATGAAATATTAATTTGTTCTACGAAACCTTAAGATATTTTACTATATAAAGCAAATGTTTTGATGTATATACATATATATTATGTGCCTTTATTTATTTTATGTCTGGTTAGGCTAGTTAGGTTCATGATTTGTGCAATATTATAAGTTGTTATTATTATGCCGTTTATGTAGACCTTCGTTTGTAGTTGATTTGGTTAATTTCATCGTATGTCCCCCCCCCAGATAATATAAAGGGTTGCCATTGTGATTACCCACATTACTTTGGTGATATTATAAACGTAATTCAATTATTGCGTTCTATGGTTGCCAGTTTCAGAATCTCATGGTAAATGACATTTGAAAACTGATATTTATCTCCTTGTTGTAATTTCTTTTATTGTGAAATATTTCTGATATAGATCAAAAAAGAAATTCAAGTAATAAATTATTCCTTACTTGCAATTACACATAAATGGATTCGGGTGGTTAATCTTAATTATGAAATCCGTTTCAAGTGCAATCTCCGAGTAGTTTAATGCTATTATATATGGAATGAATAACACGTGGTGGGGTTGTTACACGTAGAAGAATGTATTATTATTTCTCGTATTCATCAATTATGAGACCTGTGACACATATCCGTTACTTAGGAAACGCAGCAACATGATGGAATGCTTTCTTCGTATGTGAGAATTCACCACTTTGTGGTAGTGTGTCCGGAATTTCCGGTGTTGATAGTGATTATAAAACGTTCTGAGCGCACAAGTAAGGTTAATCTATGTATGCTAGAAGCCAGAGTGACTTGTACTAATCTGGGGTTATCTGTGGTGTTGTTGTGCTATTAGTCCAACTGTAAAATCTATTTCCATTCATAAGAACGCGAGCAAGAGGGAGACCATCGGAAATACCCATATTAATTAATGGGAGCAACAAAAGGAGAGGGGTGTGGAATTTTGTCAGTTTGCCGTTTTTCATTTTGGATATCAAATGTAGCCGTAAAATTCCGAGTAAACAGCACGTCAATGAAAGGTGTTGTACTACCTGTTTAAGAAAACTGCCATCCGAGATCAGGGTGTCGAGTGACTATGGTTAATCATCTGTCTGCGAAAGGTTGTTCACACTTAATAGTAACTGCGTTTGCTTAGTGTTCAGACACTCGATAATCCAAATAATGTCACAATCTTGAAACACTGGATTCTGGGCTTAATACATGTCAATCGATCCTATCAGAAGTATTTCTGATGAAAATTAAAAGTATTAGTTTGTTAATTCAGCTTCTATCTACACTAATATATGGTACTTTGCCCGTTTGTTTAAGAAAAACAATTACGTAAGAAGAAAAGTCTACCTTGAGTAACTGGCGTTTTTTCCCTCTCAACGCATTTAACACAAGTACTGTGTTAACACAATATAAGTTGACGTGACAATGTGATGCGCTGTTAGCTAGATTTATTCACGGGATTTCTACTGTTACGCAGTAGAGATATCGAGTGCTATCCGAAGCAGACTAATGCTCAAATTAACCATGTATCAGTTTGAGATAATTTTAGGTTACTATGGCAGTGAAGCGGTCGTGAAACTCTTCAGTAGGCTTCGATTATCGTAAGCAATCGTTCGTTTTACGGTCAGCCGCTGGAAGATGAGATAATATGAAATAAAGTATTGATATAGGCAACATATTTAAGCATGGAGAAAATGCTCCGTGATAAAAGCCTATGGTAAATCGGCGTCGAGTTTCGTGTAGTTCAGTTTCTGAGTAGTGACGATGCCACCAGTTAGTAGTAGGCAAAGTTTAGTCAGCAACAACGCAGGACCTCGTGCGTGCGTACATCGTTTATGTTATTTGTATTTTGATAGAGTTTTGTTCTCTGAACTGGATGGTTTGATCGTGGAGTTCTCATCATTCTTCTAAACAACATCATCAGCACATACTTCAGATAGAAGTGAAGCGTTCGAATTTCACCATATGTGTTTCACAGCTTGTCCTGAACACCTCGATGTTGATTGGTTCTTGTTGACCTTAAATTTATCATTGTTTACTTCTTTGTTTTGGTTGTCTCCCATTGTTTTGGTTTTTGTTCCTATGTTTGTACATAATTCTGATTGGTTGATAAATTGGATCGATTTCAATGTACTTGTTGATTGCTTATTGACCTGAGTGCCAGGCTTCTAAAAATTCTCTGGTGTTTTTGGAATTTCCTCTATCCAAGATTTTCACATTTTTCCAGTCAAATTAGTGTCTGCAGTTGTCCATGTGTATTGATATAATTGAGGAAATGTCGTGGCGTTTGACTGCTAATCGATGTTCATGCAGGCGAAGGTGACGAGCGCGTAACTTCGTACCTCTACTAAGTGAATGGTTTCTGCTAAGTCATCAACATTATATTAATTATCAATGATCACATGGAGGTATACGTCCAGCAATTCGGTTGAATGACTTCCAGCGTATGGGATCAAATAGTCTTAGTAGGGTAGGGGTTTCATACGCTTCCCTTGATTATGAATGGGAAAAATAGGAAATAAGATCATAGCAGAATAATATCAATTGAGTTATTCCTTAAATCTCCCTCAGCTGCTTACAACCTTAAGACCATTTTGTTGATTACTGGGAAAATGAGTAGCCCGTTGTTCTCCCATTATTCGAATCTATACATGGAAGGATTATATGAAATTCTCAAAAAACGTCTTACCGTCAATTCGGTTCGTAAGTGACCATAGGACGTAGCTTCCCGTTGTTAATGTTTCTAAATGCATGGTTCATATTTCAGGTAGTTTCTACAGGGTGGTTACATTTTCTGTTTAGTCCTTAGTTTTGGCCACCATACGACCAACTCCATTAAATAAGTTATGAGTCTGGATAACTAGTCTCATCAAAATTATTCCACTGGCACATAATTACACCATCGATCAAGAGAACACGAACTATACAATACTGTAGTGTCTTGAACAAATCAATTTTTTGAGTGCAAATTATTCAATTTTTCGCCCTATTGACAATTGAGTCAAATTCATCATGATCCAATTTATTTAGTCCATCTAAGTCATTGTGATACAGATTTGTGACTTAGATAAATGGGTTAGACGGTATTATGATCCCTACATATTTCAATCGCTTAATGCTTATTGTAGTTTTGGACATCATCAGTTGCTTATCTGTTTTCTACACTTCGAAATAAAGAAACAACATGAATTGTAACAGGACAACGTGTTGTGGATTCTCCTCAACTACTTACAGCCTAAAAACAATGATAAAAATCATTCGAAATAAAACAAATCTATGTACATTATATCAGTGAAGGATTGAATAAGACTAAGTTTGACATGTAGATTTAGAATAATACAAGATAATAATTATGATGGAAAATCTGTTGAGATCCTTGTCTATTTTTAGGTTAAATATATGAATATTCTCGGGACAAAGATTGAAAAGAGCATTTCTATAGAAATCATCAAGTCATATAGTAAACTACTTAATAATTGATTAGAGAATATAGATTAGTTGAGAAAAAATTGTTATAATTTGTGACCGCCGATTAGAGAGCAGTGAATTATCGACCGAACTAAGGACGCATAAAACGCGCGAGCAATCTAGAGTCCTGATTGGTCCTGCTTCCTGCCTAGCCCAGCCAGTTAAGTCCAGAACACCAATATCAACCTCTACAATATGAATCATGTCTATCAAATATACTCTGTTTATATACCAATCAAACAAACCACATTGTACCATAAAATAGAAAACATTCTTACAAGAATTAACCAGATGTAGCTGTGAATGAGGGAGGTAGTAATTGATCGACAGGGCATAATTCAAGAATGATAAGTGGTATAATAATAGTTGATAGGTCAACATAAGCTTTATAATAAGAAGGACATGAATATGAATAGTTTAGTTATTTAACAATTATACGACAGAAATATACACATGGTATTGGTTCATAATGGATTTTAACAGTCCTCATTCATTATGCTTATTGGGACCTAACAAGCTCAGAAGTAAGAAATTCGCATTTATAATTAAGGTCATGGGAAAGATTTTATGTAACATTCTTTTAGAAATAAGGTCACTTGGCATAAAAAACGATTGGTAATTATGTTTTAGATATAGAAACTTAGTTGAAATTTATTTACATAGTAAGCACTTCTGTAATGGATAATAAATTTGATATATTTTTTGTTGGTCGATTACTTAGAAGAGTTCTGGCACATTAATATTATGTCCACCGTGAAGCAATTGTACTAATGTAGAAGTTCGTTGATTGAATCGCAACTTTTGTGTAATGTGTTCGGAGTTTCGGATATAAAACTTACCTTTTGTTCTTCTGATGTTTGTGCTATAGCAAATGTGCGTAAATTAGTGGAGACAAGATAAGATGTGAATTCTTACAATTCGATTGCTTCAGTTAGCGTTTCGTTTGGCATGGAAGGACCGTCTCGGAGGCTGGATACGCCCTTTTCATTATTGTCATTAATCTAAAATCAATTAATCTTTCCCGTTATTTTGTCACACTTGAAGTCACATTATAGGAAGACAGGGTTTTCCTCAATAGTAGTATATTTCATTCCATTTATTCTAGCCGTTTGATGCTTATTCATGAATTTTTGTGGATAACCTTTATCACTCAAGCAACGTTCGACCATGGTTAATCCCTCAATTCCATCCTCAGAAGATGCTATCCATAAATTACTGAAGCTATGATGCTTCAAGTATCACCCACTCCACGTGTCTTTTCAATAAGTATGCCTTTCCAATTCACCACTCGGATTACTGGTAGTATTGAAATCTAAAAAAACGAAACATTTCATATTCCATCATAAATGCAATGTACAAACAGTGACGTATCCATCTCACACAAAGACTCCCGCGTTTTACCAGAAAATATGTCAGATGCATCAAATGATGATCAGAAATCTAATACAATTTTGATAGATGCTAATTGCCTTGATGATCCATTATCTACAAATGAGGTTCCCAATAAATTTGGTCACAATATTTCAGAAGAATCAAACTTCGATGACCTCATGTTAAGCATCGTTCAACCTCCCCACTCAGTCACTTTCAGTCAGTTCTTTGCTCAGTGTGACAAACATGTCTTAAATAAATTCAAATTAATTGTAACTTGGGCATATGAAGATCCAACACTGTTTCGTGGGGGAGGATGAACTCGGAAAAATTAAAATCTGGATATCAACTCCGGATTTTCGAAAAAAGGGAGGTGATATGATGGAAAGAAAAACAAATCAATTTTTGATTGATTTACTCATTATAAGTTTTATTCAACATTCAACATCCGTTTGATTCAACGTGAGGATCATACAGTGTAGTATTTGATTGTTTGCCCAGTATGATATTCTCTTCTGTATGATAAACGATATTCTTGTATTCACTTGACATAAACTATGCTCAGTAAGTGATTTGTTATAACTGAGTATGTGATCTAATCCTAACTATTAATCAGAATG